AAATGAAATTACCTCCAGATGGTAACGGTACACTTATTCTCAGTCCTATTTTCTTGAACTCTTCTTTTATTGTAAGATCATTTTCGCACAAAAAAAAAAATCGCAAAGCATCGTCAGCTGTAAATCGTTCGATCTCTGGTTTGGCACTTGATTGGGCTTTTAACCTTGTTCTTTGGTTATCTTCACAAAAAGATTTTTTGGTCTTCCACCTACATTTTTCTTTTGGCTATCGTCCTGAGCTTTGAAGTGGGAATCCAGTCATTTTGTATATTTTAGGAAAAACAAACGCTTGTTGCGGCAGGACTTGGCATAACGTGAATCAAAGTCTGCTTTTAGAAATCTTAGCGATTTGTGAAAGGACTGTTCAAAGGCTTCACTTTCGGGACAAATAATTTTCTTTTTCACATGCGATGCCAGATCAACGAGCGATATTTTTTTGAAAAATAATGTTACGATTTCCTGAACACTCACGCTGCATACTTTTATTTTCAATAATGAAATAAATACCTTCTGAACAATTAAAAATAACTTACCTTCTGCCATAATTATCAGTTATATACTTCAAAATAACACAAATTATAATCCACCGGAAGAGTCAACATTACTTCGAAATAACAGAGCTTCCGTTTTCGTACTTACATTTTCAGTTAGTCAATCAGTAAGTAGTACATGTGTATTCTCATTTCAACATTAGATCAGTGCACGAAGATTTGCTTGCACTCTTCTATCATCCGTAAATGTTGACAGTTTTGGGTGGTTTGTTTTGGCTTCCATTCGTTGCCATCTCTTTTACTCAGAAACAAAATTTTTTTAACTAAAAAGTGCACTTCTCTATCAACTATCATCATCGACTTTTTTTCACACGCACACATGTTCTAGAATGAACATGAACATGAAGAAACTTTGTGCATACATTAGTACAGCGTTCGCCAACGTGCAGCTAGCGAAGCATAAGAGACATATTCCATCGTTTCCATCGCATGCAGCCAGCAAGCCGTGCGTTGGCGAACGCTGCTTGAATAAACATTGTAGTCTATGAATTCAGATATCTCAAATATATAAAATTATATGTCCGGCAAACTTTCACCTTTGATTGATGATAAATGGTACATTTCAGAAAGTAAATGACTTTTTGCTAAAACTTGCTACTTTTCGAGAAACCGGATTATGAAGATCATGGTAATTTTCACTATTTTGGCTAATATTTCGCTTGTATCGACCCAAAACATTGGGAACTCTTCCATAAAACTTGCAAATTATCTGATTTAAACGATACACTGCGTTAAAAATGAAGGATTTGTCGTTTGTATGGAAAATAGTACAAAAAACGTAAATTTCAGTTAAATTTTACAATATTCACTTTATCTTTGTTGTTTGAAGGCCTAGATCTTTAAGTTTTTAGGCATTTTTTATTTTTTTTAATGTTCTACAACTTTGCCGAAGACACAAAACCTCTAGCATGTGAGATAAGAAAGTTAGTATCGCAGCACCATCTATGCGGATAAAATTGGAACTAATTTCTATTACCAGATGAAGGCGCATGTTAAACCAAGAAACTTTGCCAAAGACACCATTTCAATATAATGCAAACCCAATGCGCTAGAGGTTTTGTCTTGCTAATTACGATTCCTGGCCCAGTGTGCACTGCACTCAGGAAAAATATTGACATTCGTGGTATCATTACGCCGTCTCCAAGCTCTTCGAGTTAGTTGTTATAGAACCGTTGTTATCTAATCGTAAGAAATGTCTACCTATGATGTCTAGGAATATTGGCACGGTTCTATTTCTAACCGAACGACGACCAGAAAAATAACTTACCTGCTATTTTTCACATCTTTGTAACAAATTTAACTGTGAAGCAATTGAGTTGAGATTATCAAACGAAATTATAAAAAGGCATTCATGTTCTGTACCTTGTGCATTGAAAAAAGCTTAAAAGATTAAGACATAAACAAACATGTCATGTAATATTAAGTGTTCCGAAACTGAACAGTTCGTTGCTCGACGAAAAGTACGTTTGATTGAGCTATATTTTGCGTCTGTTATGACTCAACTTTATGTCAAAATTCACGCTCGTATATGTCACTCTCAGAGCTCCTAAATTTTCATAAATTTTTCTAAGTGTGTTGCTTATTTTTCGAACAAAGCAAGCTCTCCCTATACAAGTACCCGAAAATATTTATTCTGGAAAAAGTTGAATGCACGCTACACATTCTTATGAAGAAACATAAAACTCAGAGAATGAAAGAAGAGGTATCACATAGTCTACTTCGTTGGTTAAGGCATGGTATTATCATGCCGGAGCAGGCGGGTTCGATTCCCGGTCCGGTCTAGAAAATCTATTGGGTTGGAAATTTCGTCTTCCCTGGGCATACAGTATCATTACATACATTCATGCATTGGCTGGCTTAGAAGGCTGTCAGTTAATAACGGTGAAAGTGCTTTAAAGACCGGCAAAGAGGTAAAAGAATGCTCACCTATATTTGATGCCATTTGTTATGCATCCTAGCAGGAAAAACATAACTTATGAATATAAAATTCAGCTATAATTTCAGTATAACTGGCAACCCAAATATTATATTCGGTGCATAGCCAAAAACCAAAAAATAATACTTCAAAAATGTTCTATGAATAACGAATAAATAAATAATTTAGTTATTATAACAAATTTCGAATGTAATGACCAAAGCAGGGAACGTCGCCGGTGGTGTAGTGGTAAGCGTGATTACCTCTCACCCCAGCAGGCCTGGGTTCAATCCCAGTCGGTGCCGCCGGGATGTTCTGAGGCATAACATCTCTGATCACGCCTTCCTTCGGATGTGAAGTATAGCCGTTGGTCCCCGGTTCATGAGTTTGATGGGTCGATAGGTAGGGTCCAGGTGTAGGAGCTGCCTTCCTGGCACGTCGGTAGCATTGGTGCTCAGCACGGAAAACAAGATCGACAAAAAAAAAAACAAAAACCAAAGGAAAAAAAAAAAGACCCGAGCAGGAAAAAATATCTCGATACCTTAAATTGGTTTGGATGAGCATGACACAAGAGGTAAACCACAAAAAAAAATGTTCCCGCGATACCATTCCAATACCAAATTATGCAATTACAATTCCAAAACAATACAGGTATTCTTTTGATATTGAAATATCAATTTCGGTTATTTACAAAGTATTTTGCATGCAATTTTTAGTTATTAATCTTTGGTATTTCACCTCTTATGTCATGCTGATCAATACCAACTGTTGGTATCTGGTCAGAAATAGGTATTCATTAGTTATTTTCTTCTGCTCGGGGAACACTATTTTATGCCAGAATATTCCTGCTCAGGCTTCCCGAGCAGCAACGAATATCTCGATACCTTAAATTGGTATGGATGAGCCTGACATAAGAGGTAAAATACCAAAAAATAATACCAAAAAAATGTTCACACAATACCATTCCAATACCAAATTATGATAATGCAATACCAAAACAATATCACCCAGGTATTCTTGTGGTATCCAAATATCAATTTTTGGTATTCACAAAGTATTTTCCATGTAATATTTTGGTATTATTCTTTGGTATTTTACCTCTTATGTCATGATGGTCAATACCAAATTTTGGTATCAGATCAGAATTAGGTATTCATTAGTTATTTTCTCCTGCTCGGGTTAGGTGTTATTGTCTTAAAACTGAAAGATTTCGTTTTGTTATTTTGGTGTTCATTTTATATTTTACCAAAATATTTCGATAACTGACTTATAGCAATACCAGCAAGCATACCAAAATAAGGTATTATACCTAATTTAGATATTCATATGTTATCAATTCTTGCTCGGGCATTATTTAGGCGGCAGTTTGCAACTCTCGTAAGATAGTGGCCAAGCCCACTATTACTTAAATATTTACTTTTTCGCTTCATTCAAAGTCCTTTGCAATAAAGATATCTATGTAGGTTGCGCATACCCGAGCAAGAATCAATAACTATCCGATATCATGAATATCTTAATGTGGTATGATATCATATTTTGATTCGATTTCGGTACTAAACCTTATTTTGATAATATTCAGGTATCGAAATATTAAAAAAAAATGTCTAATAAATACCAAAATAACAAAACCTGATCTGTCAGTGTTTAGACAATAACATCTCAAAGATATATTGGAATGGTATTAAAAGACCGTTTAAATAACAAATTATGGTATTCTGGCTTCTGAAATAGGGTTTGTTATCCGTCAGTTATTATAATAATTAACTTATGTATTAGTTCGTTATTTGTAAAACATTTTTGAGGTAGTATTTTTGGTATTTTACCTCTTATGTCAGGCTCATCAATCCCATATTTAGGTTGCCAGTTATTCTGTTTTCATACCTGAATTTGGTATTATTAAGTTATTCTCTCCTACTCGGGTACACTTCTAAGTTCCGCAATTTGCCTTCTCATGGTCGTACATGGCTGTGTTGCAAAGTTAACAATAAATGTAACACTTTCACCAGCTTTCCTTTTCCCTAACACGTCATTATCGGCGCATCACGACTTTTGCACTTGCTAGTAGGTGCATGATTTCATACATTCCACACACAGGTGATGTGTAGGTACCGTCCTATGTTTGCGCGCGTACTTGTACATCCTCCAATTAGCACGTTCAATTTCTTCTCTCTTCGAGGCAAAGCAGCCCACATAAGAGGCGCCGCCGCCGTACTTGAATTCTATTCTGGGCAGTTCATAAATTGCGTTCCAAATCGATTGGATTGGATTGGATTGACAATTCCGAATTTGCTTTATGCCTTTCCAAATTGATATTCGGTTAGATTTTCCGTTGGAATCAAATTTCATTCCGTAATTTCCAAACGGACCCTCGTGCTATTTGTTTAAACTGATTTTCCCCTGCTCCGATTGGACTGCGTGTCATCAGTGAATTGGGAACTGACTTGTCGCGTGCTTTTTTGCGCTCGCTATCGGAAGCGGTAGTTTAACTACGTTGTTCGATACGACTAGATTCGCCGCATAACTCGCTACTGGAGAGAAAGTTTCCAGTGACCTTTGGCCATTTGTACACAAGTTGTTTTCCTATCGGTGGAGCATACGGTTGCTCAACCATGCTTTGGCTAATTTGGTGCGTGCTTTTCGGAAGTTTACGGCTTGGGAGTACCCTTAGTGCTATCGTTCACAATGAAACAGAATTTGATCTGGTAGAAGGACACCGGCAAGGAAGAGGTTGGTTTCAAGAAGTTTAGTTGTTAACCGGAATTTAATCTGAAGTATTTTCCCTTGTTAGTGTTCCCCTTTTACTCGATTGGCCGTATTGCAAATTTACCTTGTCTAGCTAGCAATGGCTTGACAGGGACTTGCTTAGTTCGAGGCGAGTGCGCTGCTAATCTGGGTATTTTCAGTGGCAGCTGTAGTACAATCACAACACAAGCAACCTGTTGTATATGTGAGTAGTGAATATGTTACCCCTTCGGATGGCTATTAGTAACTTTAGAATATACAGTCAGCAGAACTTGTGGAGGATCAACTAACCTAAACAGTACCTATTTCACGAATACTGGATATCCCGGATCATACAACGGTGGTGGTTCATGTTCATTCACAATCACTCCTTGCAGTACATCGGTTTGCCAGCTGCGAGTAGATTTCAGATCGATGATTCTGGCTCAACCGGATGGAGATGGAAACTGTCTGACAGATGTTCTTACGATAACCGGTGGAAGTTCAGATGTTCCACCGATCTGTGGTGAAAACACCGGGCAACATGTGTACGTGAATTTTGATGAACTGAATCCAATAACCATCAAGGTGACTACCACAGCTGGGTCGACCGTGGACCGGATGTGGAACCTTCAGCTATCCCAAATTCCCTGTGCTTCGCAATTTCGGGCACCGGATGGTTGTCTGCAGTACTACCTGGAACCAAGTGGAGTGATTAGCAGTTTCAACTATGGATTTGGGGCGAATCCCAATTTGAACACCCTTGGTGCGACTGGATCGAGGCAGATCGCTGGGCAGCGGTACGGAATTTGCATTCGACCGGCACCCGATCAGTGTTCGATCACATACAGTTTGGTAAGTGTAAAATGCTATGCAACGTTACGATAACCTAAAGTAAAGATCGATTTCATGAACAGCCAACACTTGACGGATCGTTTGCATTTACGGTAACTGGAGACGCAGAGGTTCTCGCTCCTACACTGATTGGTATGGGAATTTTTGGTGAGAATGGTGCCCTTTGCACTACGGACTATATTGTTATCCCGGATCCGATAGTTACCAGTGCTGATGCGGTTGGACTTACGTTCGTAGATAGATTTTGTGGTCTCGGACTGTTTCCCGTAACCAGTGAGTGTTCAATTGTAGTAGTCATGGGACAGTTGTGATCTTCTTTGAATGTTTCGTTTCAGGCCAGGTCAAGCCATTTGTGGTATACGTGGTGTGGGATAGCAACGAAACGCCGGACGTTGCAAACCGAGGATTTCGATTGGTTTACTCCCAGAATGCCTGTACGCTTGGTGCGTAGCTATGTTGTGAATACTTTTAGGCTTTTGAATGTTAATAAATGTTTTGTGGGTTTTTAATTGGTTAGTTAATTATTTTTCTGGCTACAGTTTCTAGGGATTTTGGGTTTCAAAATGTAATCTTTCCATAATGATTTTTTTTTTAAATTTCATTCATGTTTTAACCGTAGAAGTGGTCATCCTTCCCCAATTTCTCGGTTGTCATTGATGTTATCACTTTCAGGGGACCTATCATGACCTCGTTGTCAGCACCATCCCAGAACGTTTGTTGGCAATTATGAACTCAAGTAACCGCAGGCGGATGCGTTTGAATATATAAAGATTGTCAGCAAAAATGGTTGCTGCTGAGTACCACCAGAAGCTCGATGAACGGATAAGTTTAAACTCTGTTGGAAACAATTAACCATATAGTTGAGCAGCTTTGGAGCGACCTTTAATAAACTCCAGATTTTTTAAAATTAGTTTGAATAGGACCCTATTTATCGAGGATTTGAACGAAAAAAAAAAAATAATAAAATATTGTTCCACAGCAAAGTTCGAGTGGTAGGAATCGTAATTTTAAACTACTCGAATTATATAATCCATGCATGGAATACGATAAAGTGGATGCGTTTTGTCTAAATTATTACTTGCTCTATGTGTTCTAAGTCCTTGATAAAGACACAGAGGAAGCGTTTGAGGTGCAAGCAGAAATAGTGGTGGAAATAGACGTGACGTTCCCACTAACTGTAACCCTCTGAAAGCAAAATTAATTGGTATTATGTGTCATATACAAACTTTACCTCGTCTTCCTGCATCTTAAAAACTAAAAATATCTTTATAATATATCTCAAAGTTTCATGATAATAGCAATTGCAACTTGGTTATAAACACTTTTTTCCAATGCAATATTTCCAAGCCCTCTAGTTTCTAATAATTTTGCCTTACTTTAGACGAAAACAGCATCCGGGGTTCATTCAAGTTGATGATGATGATGATGGTCCCACCTCTTACCCCTGCAAAGGTTTGAGCTGGACGAGTTACCTTTAAGATAATTAAATATAAACATTTTAACCAGGTTTGCAAACAAAATCGAGCTGGTTACAATTACAGATATAAATGTCCTGTTAAATATGCTATAGGCATCAACCAAAAACATTCAAAGGTGTAACTAGTTATCAAAAGTCCAAGTATAGTCCTCGACAATACTTCCATTTACACGTGACCTGGTATTTACACGTTTAAGCTTCCGCAGTGCCAGGACTATATCCAAAGAAACGACTTCCAGCCAACCCTTTACTAATTCAAGGCTTTTGCCACAATTTCCACGTATTAGTCATTTATACCTGTATTCCGCGCGCGAGGCTCAAACCATCGTAGACTACTCAAAGCTATTTTTACTATTACTACTACAAAATCAAAAAACTAAAAATCCATCATCACCATCGAGGCAAACAATGTAGTTTTTTGTATATGCTACACCAATTACTAAAATGTCTTTATGACAGTCTTCATACAAAATAATCCGTTAGAGATAACTTTGTCAAGATACATGATTTATCCATTCATAAAAATTTAACTGCTCAATAAACAGCTTTTACATGTGAAATGCAGCGTCTCTTGAATTCTGTAAGTGTAGTTGCACGCTTGATGTGTCTAGACATCGAATTGAAAACATTTATACCTTTGAAAAATAATGAATTTTGTGAAGCATTATTCAAAAGATGTGGTGTTCTTACTTCATCCGCGTTTCTAGTGTTATATCTATGAAAATCACTTCCTCTTTCAATCCGATCACACAAATATCGAGGCAGCAAACCGTTAACTACTTTAAAAATGAACACCATAGTCAAAAACACAATTCTTTGCTTCACTGACAGCCATTGCAAAGCGTCCAGCATAAAAATTGAGGAAGTGAATCTATTACATCTTAAAATCAAACGCATTACTTTATTCTGCAAACGCTGTAATCTCGATATTTGTGTTTCATTGGCCAAAAATAAAATGGAAGGGCAAAAGTCTAGATGAGGGGAGATGATTGATTTGTATAACTGTATTTTACTACCAATAGTTAAATCGTTTTTCAAGCGACATAGGATTCCATACTTCTTGGCAATTTTCTTGATGACATTGTCAATATGAGAATTGAACTTGAGTTTGTCATCAATAATCACGCCAAGATATTTAATTTCCTGAACGCGATCAAGTGTCTCATCATCAATAACAACAGAGACATCATCATCTACACGATTCCGCGAAATTACCATGAATTTAGTTTTACTTATATTCAATTTCAATTGTTTATACTTCAACCATCTACTTAGAGAACGCAAATCTTCATTCAAGCGTGAAACGGCTTCTTCTAAATCTTTAGCTGCAATGAATAACACAGTATCGTCAGCAAAAAGATTAATATCACAAAACCGTAAAACTCGTCGCATGTCATTAATATACATAATAAATAAAAGGGGCCCTAATACACTTCCCTGAGGCACTCCAAGGTCATTGTCAACGGGACAAGATACAAAATCATTAAAAACAGTCCTTTGTGTTCTGTCAGATAAATAGCTTTCAAACCATTTGTATGCAGAACCCGAAATTCCAAAGCGCTTGATTGTTCTCAACAATAAGGGCCTAGAAATTGTCTCAAAAGCGCGTTTTAGATCCAAAAACACAGCAACAATCGTATCTTTATGCTCCAAATTTTCTTTCCATTTAGCTAACACTAAGTTTAACGTGGTTTCACAAGAATGGCCTTCCCGGTATCCCGATTGTTCCGGTATCAACAAACAGTTACTATTTAAATATTCTAACAGCTGGCCTTTTACAACAAGTTCCAAAATTTTCTCTAATGTGTGCAACATGTTGATGGGACGAAACTCTTCGGCCCAGCAACTTTTTGTATAGGAACAACTAAAGATTCGACATATTCGTGATTCAGTGAGGGGCCTCATAGCCTAGTCAGTAAAGGCACGGTATTACCAAGCCGGAGGCGGTGGGTTCGATTTCCGGACTGGTCGAGGGAATCTTTCGGATTGGAATTTTTTTTCGACTTTCCTGGGCATAGAGTATCATTGTGCTTGGCACACAATAAACAAATTCATGCATTGGTATTGGCATCGAAAGCTCTCAATTAATAACTGTGGAAATGCATTTAGAACACTAAGTTGAGATCACGCAATAAGCTAATATGCGCTATGTAATAAGCTTGAAATGCAATCCTGATGAATGTGGGCGTCTTAGTGGAATACCTGTATAATGAGAGAGAGAGAAGGATTAGTATTTTCCATTTAATTCCACTACTTTATTTGCTTATCCTTGACAGATACGCGTATTTCGTCTACAATGTGCAGACTTCTTCAGTGTCTTGTACTAATACTCGACTAGACACTGAAGAAGTCTGCACATTGTAGACGAAATACGCGTATCTGTCAAGGATAAGCAAATAAAGTAGTGGAATTAAATGGAAAATACTAATCCTTCTCTCTCTCATTATATTGAAATGCAAATAAGAAGTAAGAAGATATTAGTGATTCGATATGCCGTCCTAGAAATCCAGAATGTATTGATATAAAAGTTCCTTTTGTGATATACGAACATGTATACCAACAAATAAATCATTTGTAATGCACACCAATAGCTTTTACGTCCAAAAATGGACGTCATGTACTTTAAAATTTTAAATTTCTTTATAAACGATTTCATAAATCTGCAATATCAAATACAGTTTTGCAAGCCTCCCAATTCAATCCGGTAATTGTAATGTTGTACGATACAAAAGTGACTCATCGTATCTAATTTTAAAGAAATTCTCAGGGAACTTAAGAAATGTTGTCAGGCAATTTGAAAGAAGTTATCAAGACAATTCAGAGAAATTCTCAATTTTTTTGACGTTAGACTACGTCTGTGAATTCTATATGGGGATACACTTTGTGAAAGACGAAAATGGAACATGTAACAAAATTATGAAAGATTTTGAATGTTAATAACTCAGCTGCCCCTGGACCAATTCCAATAATTTTATCACCAATCGATCAGAAATATTCCTAAGCATCGTTAAATCCAAATTTAAGACTTTATCATTTTTCAAAATGTCACTATTGAAAATTACACGAATGTGCAACTTTTGCTATGATCATTAAAATTATCACCGATTGCCTGCGAAAAGCGATTCCCATAACACAGATTTCAAAGTTGAATTCCATCCGGTATTTTCAAACGATGTTTATTCAATCACCGCGTGGTGAGTGGAGGTGTTCTCCAGTACACAACAAAAGGCTGCCGCCTGCAAGCAGTGAGCTGCAGCTCACATCACCATCCATAGAAAGAGGAAGAAGCCGCACCACTATTGATCGGAATCAGTAGCTCTTCGTGAGTCGCTGTGGCTCATCTATGCCAAGCGCGTCATACTAAAGAGTATAAACAGATAGAACTTCGCTCAAATTCCTATTCCTACACAAAACACAAGCTCTAGCTGCAGTTAACAAATAAGAACTATTATATTAGACCACATAGTCCTACGTTACCATTGCGTTCAACCCCATAGGGCTGTCCCTTGTAGTTTTTTAGAACTTCTCAGTGAACTCTTAGGAAAGTTTTGAAAGAACCTGAAAGAAATTCCATTCAGATCCGAAATTAGGGCGTACATCCTTTTGTTAACAAACACACCAATCGCCGAATTTCGAAAAGGGTAAATAATCTGTTTTCTTCTTCTTTTTGAAATATTCTTCGATCATCATTTTCTAAATGTATTGTTAAAATTCAGTCCAGTGCATGTCACCATTCCAAAACTGTCCATGTTTCATAAATATCAACTGGTATGGAAAGAAAAGTTTAACCATCTCTTTTCTTCCTTCATTTCCATACAACAGCAAATGTGACGTCACACTACCTAGTGCATAAGGATGTTGTAAACAAAACATTCACATTTCCAGACCACGCTGTGAGAAATTGGTGGTAAGCTCCAACCGGTATTATCCCGGAACGGGACTTGACAATCCAGCTTCTCACTCTTCTTAATGTTTTTGATGAATGTCGATCGAAG